GATCTAATTACAGATATCCACTTCCTTATTTTAGTTTTTTGAACAATTTGATGAAGATGAAATTGGAGCCTTGGATAATGTGGAGTTAGAAGGCTATATTAACACGGACAATGCTCGGTTGCAGGAAGTCCTGAATGATTACTACAAAGACAGAGCAAAGAAGTATGTATTCCCAGAAGTACCACTTCATATAAGTATTTTTGTGATCCTGTGTTTATATGGAAAGTTTGGGTATGTTGTTTCCAGTTCACATACTCAAAGATGAGATCCCACAATAAAAGCAGCTATGTATGAGTATTAACTGGTTTTTTTATGTCACCAAATGTCAATCTTAGCTTATGAGATGATAAAATTAAGTGGAGGCATTTTGTTGGTTTACGTGAGATTATGCTCCTTTTGTGTCATTGTACTGACTTTAGTGTAAGTAATATCTAGAGGCATTCTTCCTTTCCCTTTTAGTGTAACTTACCTTTCTCCTTATTTACTTTTGTTTCTAACAGACTCTGTAGCCAAGTATATTCTGTCCTGCTGGTATGCAGCTGATTCCACTGTAGCTAGTGACATGATAATAAACTCTCAGGCAACTGTTGCATGGGTACCACTGTTTGGAGCACTGCCAACAGCAGTGCTTATAAAGCAACCCCGTGTCAGCGTAAGCCTGCACTTCCACAGTATATTCACTTTGTCGTAAAGCAGGTGATATTAACCCAAAGTTAAATGGCTAAATGTTCTCACATTAGTCTTGTGTTTCCTGATTGAAAGATACGGTAATGTGTCCCTTGTAGTGAAAGATGACTGGTCAGTAGTAGAGTACATAATCACCTCTAGAGCTGCCTTGCTTACAGACTAAAAAGTGTACACCCTCTTCTCTTCCTGCCCTCCAATCACAAATACCATGTGCCACATAATTTTGAAATGCAGAAATACTTCTTTTGTCGACTCTGTCTCTTGTCCTAGTGTTTTGGTTTATTTTGGGAACGCTTACTTAAGGAAACTTTGTTGCTGCGAGTTTCATTAGGAATAGCTTGCTCTGGTTTGGGGTTTTACTGAGGGCGGACTGGGTTTACATACTTACGCATTTTCAAGAGAAGATAAACCTTATTTTTTTTTCTTTTGGACTTCTTCAAAGTTGTGTGAAATTGGATGCTCTTGAACCCTGTGAAGATTTAGACTCTCCTATGAAGGAAGAGAGGGAGGAAGAAAAGGAAGAAATAGTAGCTGTAGTTATTGAGGAACCAAAAGAAAAATGGGATTGCGAATCCATTTTGAGTAAGTATTTTGGAGTTCACTTGTTCCTAGGATTTCAAAGTAAGCAATAGGTGATCTCAGAACTTTTCTAACAGTGCTTTAGGTAAAATGGTTTATGCTTCTGAAG